CAGGGCTGCGGGTTCCGGTTCAGATCAGCACGCTGGGCAATAGCTTGAAGGACTGCGACTGTAGGAATGTTCCGAACAGAATGGAAGACTTGTCTCTTTAGGGTGCGGAGGTTTCAAGGGTTTGTAAAAACAGGACGTATGATAGGGCATACTAAGCGATTTTGGGTTCGGGGATTCCTGGAATACATTTCTTAAAAAATCGGCATAGACAAGCTGGGGGAGTAAATGGGAGTATGGGCCCTAAACCCTAAACCCTGAACCCTAAATAAATACAGACAAGAAGACAGATGTGGACTGCCTGGTTTTGTGGGATTGCAGAAGGCCCATTTGGAATAGGCATGTCAATAAAGGGATGATGCAAATCCCAGAGGGTACATGTAGTAAGAATATAGTTCTATAGTAGGATTAGGGTTTGGGGTTTGAAATTTAGGGTTTGGGCAGCATATCGTATATACTTCGGGCCCAAAGAAGTTCCCATATAACTACTTTCGGGATAAAGTATTTAATATGTAACTACATGGACCTTTTGACAACAGGCGTAAAGTCTTGATCGTGTTTTGCGGTCTGTATCATATGGATCGTCTAGGGTTCGCGGCTTATTCACGCGAACTCCTTGCGATATATGGTCGAATATGCAGGGGAACCCCACAGCCCAAAGTATCTACTATATTCAACAACTTCAATTCATAAAGTAGGTAGCACTTGTAAGCGTTCAGCCTCACGGTACGAGGTCACTGCAGTACGGACTGTCCAGGTTTGGGCCGAGAGTTTACCCGCTGTTGATGTTCCAGTGCCTCAAATCCAGGTTTAGGGTTGAAGGTTTCACAGTTCAAGAAATACAGAAGCAAACGTTACATCAAGAACCCTGCACATAGTGTGGTGCTGATCCAGAACCACTCATCTAAGCGCAGCACCTGCTCTCATGAGGGAAACATGCTCCTGTTAGGCCCTGAAGAAATGACCCCTAAACCCCCTTAAGTACGTGCGTAATGCATGCATGCAAGCATGTATGTATGCGTGTATGTATGTGTGTATGTATGTATGTATGTATGTATGTATGTATGTATGTATGTAAAGGCCCACACTCTCAGTCCGGAACCCCACATCCAGAACTACACACCATGTCTATGAAGCCGTACCCACATGGCACATACTTGGGTTTAGGGTTTAGGCTTTAGGGTTGAGGGTTCTATTCCGGGGTCAAAAATACATTGCTTATCCCCAATCCTCAACCCTAATCCTTGAACCCCAAAATCCCCAAACCCGTATGCTTAAACAGAAACCCCTGAAGTGTGTAACTCCCAAATCCCAAACCACATTTGGATACTTGTGCCACCCTACACCCCCCAAATCCTAAGGGCAGTTGACTGGGCTTCCGTACTGGCGCACGGCCACCACTTCTGCGTTTCGCGCCATGCGTGCAGCTCGTGCCTCCCAGAATAAATTTAGGACTTAGGGTTCAAGGTTTAGGGATAGGGTAGGGTTTTTGATTATTGTGGTTTTTCTTTGAGGGTCTCCTGTCTTGCCCCCCAGCTGTTGATGTAGATGGGCGTTTTAGTCTATCCACTAGCTCCTATGTGTGCTCTTGGTTCTGGCCTGTGTTATTGTTGAAGTTCTGCGATCGTTTAACGTACCCCTGCACGAAATCACTATACAGGAGCCTCTCAGCCAACTTCTAAACAGAATCTACAGGACCTGGGGGGGTGTTGTTCTAGGTATCCTGCAGATGCACAGCAATAGCACAATCTTTGTACTGAGGGCCATGCAGGTTTATTAGTATCAACCGCATCTTCTCCGAACGCGACGTGCCTTTTTTCCTCAAGTGAGCTCAAAGCCAGGCTTATGCCAGATCACTCGCCCCTGCTCTCTGACGGTCCTGCCCAACCAGTCTTTCCTTGGTCAAATGACATATGGTGGCTTCCAAAGATGGTCTCCTAGACTAGATATGTCTACATATATATATATATGCATATATTTGCAGATACGGATATAGGTATAGATATAGAGATAGCTATAGATCGGCATGTGCGGTAGTCCTATGATAAGGACCTCCCAAATGTAGGCGCTGCTCATTGGAACCTCCTCCACATACTGACAGGATAGCCAGATTCTGAAACTACGCGCTATTAGAGGAAAATATGAACAGCAGCAGTATCAGCAGCAGCAGCAGCAGCAGTAGCAACACGAACGGGAGGAAACAACAGAAACAAAATCCTAAACCCTAAACCGATACGGCGAAGGTGGTGCCAAAAGGTATGAGCGAGGCAGTCTGCATGTCAGGAACGGATGCCAATACACGGAGAGCACACAGTAGGTAATATACTTTAAGGTCCAGCGTAGGCAGAATTTGTAGCCTGGGATCCCTAGGGACACACAAAATACTCTTAAAACACCTCACGGTCTGCCAGCCCACTGCAGCTCACTACGGAAACGCACTTGCTCTTGCACATCTTGCGGGGCACGACAACGCTAAGGTAGATCCCTTGTGGACTCCAAAAAGGAATAACAAAGACCCCCTACAAAGGACTGTTGTAAGGGAACCTGAAGAGCTCTTGGGTCCCCTACAGTAAGCCAAACCCCAAAACATAAACCCCTCAAACCCAAAAACGAGTGCTAAAAAGTGGCTCATCAGTGCAGGTCCATGTCTCGTCAAATTGAGACCAACCGCTGTCACCTGAGTCTTTTGTGTTTTGGTCCGGGAATACCATGCCGATCACTGCAATATTCGCCTAGAAGCCGTGCCGAACTTTGTCTGGCTGCAGGCTGCAGTCGACATATGAGAGAGGGCAAGAGGTTTCAGAAGTACTGGCATGATCTACACGCTGTTGCACTAAGCCTTCCAGACCAGGTCTGAAAACATGATCCATGATACTGTGTGTGGTTCCAGGGACTACCCAGAAAGCCCCGTACATTTTAGTCACGCCTTGAACCAGAGGTATTCGGCTCCTCGGGTGTGCTAGCGTAGACTTAGTTAATCAGTAATGCGTATGCCACCAAGAACTATAAGGACCCCCCAAAAATGGTACCACTAACTTAGGGGAAACCCTCAGGTCAACGCTAAGCAGCTTTCCACAGAAAACCTGGGCAGCCCATTCTCGCGCGCTTGTGTAAACCCTTCACCCCACGTCGACAAACCCCATTCACAAATAAACAGAAACACCAACACCAACCTAGACCTCCCAAATACCAAGAATAATATAGTCCCCCTTAAGTAGATAGAATATGGCTTTGGGTATGTTATAATAAGATCCCCATATGCCCCATAATCTATCTACTTAAGGGACACTATAGCCCATATACCCAGTATCTTTGGGCTTAAGGGCTGGGGGCGTCCAGGAGATGCTTTTCTCCCGTACCTGGAGGGTCATGGGGACTTAGTAAGTGGGTTTCAAATTAGGATAACTAGCAATGGAAGAGGAAATGGAAACTGCTATGTATTATTTAGGCTTTAGGGCTTGGAGGGTCATTGGGACTTAGAAAGTAAGTTAATAATTAGGATAACTAGGATTACTATATGGGTTATAGGGGTTATTAACCTACTTGCTAAGTCTCCCTGACCCTCCAAGTATGAGACTCGAAGGCAAAGACGAGCTGCCGGGTCCCCAGGTCTCAGCAGCAGAGAAAAGCTTTGAGATCTTCTTGGGATCGGCGCCCTTCCTTATTCAGGGTAATAGGGATAATGGGGTTCTATGGGGGTTATATAGGGGTGATATTATAGGGGTTGTGTAGGGCATAAAGGAAAATAGAATGGAAACTACTATTTAGGGCTTAGGGTTTAGGGTTTAGGATTCATTACACTACCTTAACCTAAGATGGGAACAGGAAAGGAGCCCCACGGAGACTACTTTCTGCTAGGAAAAGGCCTTTGAAGGAGCTATTGGCTCTGGGAGCCCAGTACTCCTTCATGATGGACAAAATGCTTTGGATCTATATAACTCGGAATGCCCTCCTACTGATGATACTAAAAATCCTGCATGACCTTAGGATATTATGGTACCATTATTCCCAAGGTTTAGGGTATTTAGGGTCATGCAGGATGTTTAGTATCCACCGTAGTACCCTCTCTTAGTAACCCCTATATTACTCACTATATAATCCCCTATATAAACCCCTTTTCAGGACTTTTGAGACGATGGCTCATGTAAGGGAAAGTCCTTACTGAAGACAGTGGAGTAGTGTTTTTTGTGGTTAAACCCAGTAAGATTATATTCCTTAAATAAAATACTATACCCCAGAAGGATATAATCTTACTCTATAATGGGTACCATAGTGCCCCCAAATAAAATACTGCTCAATGCCGGATTCCCTGCAGAGGGTCGAGATCAGACATCCAAGCTCTGGGATTCGGCGGTTTCAATGGGCTTTAGGGATTCTACGTGGCACTTAGGACCCCTACTAAGGGTTAACACCTTAGGTACCTATAATAGGAACATAAGGGAATCCCAGACAGGCGGCTTGACAAAAGGAGACACCTCTGCTCCATGTTAGTATGCGGGAGTTGAGCTCTACAGTTACGCCCTAAGCCCTAGTCTCTAAACCGCCCAACCAACTTCGTGAATACCAATCCCAGAGGGTCAAGGTGCCTACGCGTAGTACCCACAGGGTTCATGTACCCAATAATTTGGTACTTGGGTTTTGGGCAATAGTAATTATAGTACAGGTTTTGGGCAAGTATATACTTATTAGGTACTTGGACCCTTAGGGGTATATACTTGAGGTCCGTATGGGTTCCTTAGACCTCTGTAAAGTACAAACCCTGAATCTTAACACCTAAGTCCCACATCCCCTCCCTAGGGATCCCAGTAGGGATCCCAGTGGACAAGAAATTAATACAAAAGTTGCGGCCTGAAGTCTACAACTATTACCTACATCGGGCTAAGTGGATGCTTGGGGTAAGCGAAAGCATGTTTGGAGGGAATGTGCGCCCTAAACCCTAACCCCCAAACCCAAAGCCTAAGCCACAAACCCAAACCCTAAGCCCAAAATGCACGCTGGGAGTCTGCCCGGCGGCATGGCCATGCGTCATGGCCAGAAAGTTCATCGAGGAGGGCGCGAAGCGCTCCCCGAGAAAACGGTCTTGCAGTAAGACCTCTAGTAGTAATAGTAATAATAGTGATATAAATAATCATAGTTGTAATAATAGTAAGAAGAACTCGCAATTCTAATAGTAATGCCAGTAAAAATATTAATAACAAGGATAATCGTAAGACTAGTAAACAGTCGTAATAATTGTACTAACAGGAAAAAGGATATTACAATATTACTTGTAATGGCAGTAGTAACAGAATTACCTATAATAGTCGTAATCATTGTAGTAATGGTGCTTATTGTAATCATAGCGATAACAGGGGGTCAAGGCGTCGCTTCTTGAGATTCCCATACTAAGGCTTGCAATAATAGACTTGGACATGTTGCTGGGTTGCTGTTAAGGAACTTAAATTAAGTTACCACGTTGGGTCAATATAGTAACTCATATATTTTCCCCACTATAGTAACTTAAAGGAAATTCCTGAAACGCAACCCATATTAGGGGTTCTCAAGGCTTCTGACATTCCTTGATGAACAAATGTTAGTCAGAATGTTACTATGCTTTGGTTTGGACTAATTTGTAGCTTGGGGTTTTTCATGCCGGGGCCTGGGCTTGTGTTTGAGACTGTAGAGTATCAGGATTCTAGATCCCCCGCCTTAAGCAAAAGACCTAAACTCAAATCATAATGGCACATACCGTAACGTCTTCTCTCCCTAACCCTAAACCCTAGACCCTATCCGCCAACCTCAGGATTGTGCTCGGTGCATCCCGAAACCCTGCACCCTATCCACTAATCTCAGGATTGTCATTGGCGACTTTTAGCACCTAATGTGTTGTGATCCCTACCTGCTTTCAGGGTGCCTGCTTACTCCCCCTGAGGGTCCAAGGACCCAAATAATAGGCACCCTTTAAAGGGGTTATAGGGGGACTATATAGCGATCAAGGACCCAAATAACAGGGTTTTTAGGGCCCAAATACCATTGATGTTATTCTTTCGATGCTTGGGATCTCTAAGTAGGAGCTGTAGTATAGATTTGCAGGTTTGGGGGAAGTATATGATTTTTGACTACTTCGACCCTTCGGAACCATATGAGCTCAAGTCTAAACTCCTAGTACCCCCTCAAAGAGCCCCAGTGTAATATTCCCCTATATAATTCCCTATATAACCCCCTCCAAGGAGTTTAGACGACAGCTCATATGAAAGACCAACAAGTCTATCCAACAAGGAAGCGTTTGTGGCCTCAACGCAGAGCTCGTCAATGAGCGCCAGTTGTGCCTTCCAGTCCAGAGCGAGGGCCGCCCCTAAATCGGGGTCCAGTTGCTACTTGAGGGGCTCCCCGAAACCCTATGCCATAAAACCTAAACCCTACTTTAGGGTGTAGGGCGTTATATGAACCTTAAGTCCTTGGAAAGACACAACTTTTCGGACCCTAGCTGGGGCAACATTCCCTCCATCAACAGCACGGCCTACCACCCCTTTTCAAAACCGCCACATCTGACCCTAGCCTGGGTTGCTGTTAAGAAACTTGAAATAAGCTACCATAATGGGATTCTATAGTATTTACCCAAAATAGTAACTTAAACTAAGTTCCGTAACGGCAACCCAGTAGCAGCAAACATTACCCTAAACCCCACAAACCTTATATAATCCCGTATAGAACCCCATTCAAGGAGTTTAGACTACAGCCCATATGCCTGTTCCCTTCAACAAAAAAGATTATAAATCCTACCTGGCACTTGGACCCCCACTAGGGGGTAACCTCTAGGTACCTATACTAGGAACATAAGGGATCCCAAAGGGTTAAGGGTCTAAGGTCCAAGCTAAGTCCCAACAAAAATCGTTAGCGTTGGGAGCCGGAGGCATGGGAAGCCTGTGCTCGTAGGCATCAATCTCTACCTAGGGTTAAGGGTTTAGGGAAATCCTAGCCCAAAGTGTCCATGGAGGTTATAGTTCTTTGTTCTTTGTTGGATGAATCACAGGCTTCGCTAGGCAGTGCTAGCGATACTCTGAGAATTTCTGAGTAGATTAATAATGTATACCCCCGATTTATAAACAGTTAAACGCCCTCCTGTTACCTTAAAATTAGGATCCCTATTATAATCCCTATTAAGGGGAGGGGCTGATTAATCATGGGTCTGGGTTACCCGACCGGGCCCATATTTCCCTGCCATCTGGCGCCCATAACCCACACAACCTTTTTCATGTCCAAAGATCATGCCGCGAAACAATATCTGAGGAATTACTAGTTGCAGATCTCCAAAGCAGAGGGCCCCCATCATGCCCCCGAACAAAATCCCTCTTGTACGGAGCCCGCCCAAAAAGCAGAACGAATACCCTAGGCAACTATTTATGGCCTCCTGGCAGCATCCCTGAACCTTAATCCCCAAACGCTAAACACTGCGTTTTCCCCTGTTAGACTCGACCCTAAATCAATGGCAAAGCGGACTCACAATTTGAAGCCAACTCACACTGGGGGTTTCCATAAACAGGGGGACCCAGTACAGATCCAAATACCATAGCCTTTATCATTCAGACCCCTCATTTTCGGAATCTGATCCCCAACACCCACCGTGTAATCCCAGATTCCATTTCATTTTCCATGTTCTTTCCCATTTGATTTTCATCATTGCGGTAGTGTCCCCTTCTAACCTCTATATTACCCCATCCCTATACGAACCAGCAGTCTAAACTCCTATTATCCCCCTTCATAACCCCTATTAGAGTGCCCTATGTAACCCGTAGAAAGAGTTTAGACCCTAAACACTAAACCTCAATGCCGTTTATTCCCTTATAAGTGTACCTCGAGACTCTCTGTTGGGGCTGGCCGCCGGCGTGCTGAAACGCGCACTTCCTCATGGCAACATTAGGTTTGTTAGGGTTAAGGGTTCGGGGGAATCATGGAGAATCAGCTGGACAAGAACATGGGAAATGATGTGGAAACTGTGATCAGATTGGGATTTTTGGGTAACTAGAGGACTTCAGTAATCCGACACCCCGGCCCCAAATTAGGACCTTTTTAACTTATTATAGTCAGCTGAGGGCTTGAAGGTCCTAATTTTGGGGTGGGTTCCCGACGCCAACCGAATATGTCGCAGGCAAACCCCTGCATGACACTGGAGTTGCTGTACTGCCAGAATTGCTAGGATACTTGTGACAGTTACCATCGTAGTAATGATGACAATAACTGTGCGATCAATGCAGGCTTTGTCCATCAACTTTAGGGCTTGGCTTTATGGCGCTTGAGCACAAGGTCCCTAAACCCTAAACCCTAAACAAGGGCTTAGGGATTAGGGCTTTGGGTTTCGCTTTAGGGGCTTGGTTTTGAGGAGTGCCGCTTGACGTCTAGAATTTACCAGGCCTGAGAAAAAGAGTTTGTATCCAGGCTTTCGGGGGCAAGGATGGAGTGCTTCCTAAATGCTGAACCCCAAACTAATAAAGTTTGTCAGCTTTTAAGCTTCGAAAGCAACATGACCCGGCCCAAACCCTTTAAAGTTATCATCAATCCTAGACTGTAATCTTTTCAGATACGTATAACAAACTCAGATATGTTCAAAAAATCCTCGGGCTTGCACTTGAAAGTACAGTAAAAGTGATCAAAATTCATAGGAAAGCGAGCAAAACAAGCCGTAACCCTAAGCTCTAAACCCTAAGCCCTAAAGCCCAAACCCTAAAACCTGGGCCCAGAATCAGCATCTTCAAGCTTGAAGTCGAGACTGCCCAGCAGAGAACAGCCGTCGGGTGGTGCATTGAGGTAGCCCCAGAAGGCCTGCTGTCAAGGGATTATATAGGGTTTCGGGTTTAGGGTTTGAGGTTTAGGGTGTAGGCTTTAGGGTTTGCGGTTTAGTTTTCGGGCCTTAAGGGTTCAGGGTTTAGGCGTTAGGGTTTAGGGCCCTATATAGGGCGATATGAGGCTATAAAGGCTATACAGGGCTCTTTGTAAAACTATAAAGGAGCTTTTGCGTGTTTCTATATATATATAAGTATGTATATATATGTATATATATATATATGAAGTGGGCTTATAGAGGGTTCTATTGGGGCAAAAGAAGGATGCAGAGGGTCAGAAGGCGTGCTGTTCCCCAAAGTCCATGCAGATATTGTATGCAGATATATATATATATGTATATTTATATACATGGGGATTTCCCAAAATAAGGGGTCCCCTTTTTGGCCCTCCTCAGTTTAAGGATCACAGTATGTAGGGGAACCCCAATTATGGTTTTGGGTATAAGGGGTTGAAGTAAGGAGCTGCATAAAAGGATCTGGGTAGACCTGGGGCCATGTAGTTCAGGGTTTAGGCTCTAGGTCCCAGGTCTGTACTGTACAGCCACATGGACCCTTTGGGTGGCAAGAGCTTAGCACTTTGGGAAGGCATGCTGTTTAGGATTCATATAGGGCTTCATGGAGGTACGCGGAGGTATATCGCAGTAAGGGTATATGAGGTTAAGAGGGACTACATGCGGTGCTATAGGATTTATAGAGGGGGTATGTACGGTTATATGAGCTATACTGGAAAATTACTAGTATCCCCCTTCATAAGCCCTATAATGCTTCCCTATCTAATCTCCTATATATACTCCCCTTTACGGAGTCTAGACTATGACTCATACGGGCGTATCAGGTTTAAGGTGTTGCGTTCGAAGATTTCACGTTGAAGTCTTGGGGAAACTTGGAGGATCATGGGGACTTAGGAAGAGGGTTGTTAATGAGAATGACTAAGGCTATCATTTGGGCTATAGGGGTTATTAACCTACTTATTCAGTCACCGAGACTTTCCAGTTAATGAGGACTTAGGGCAGCACAGAAGCCTACTACCGGTGCGCAGCTGGTCTTTCATAAGCCTCCTGTGCTGGCACCACATGCCAATGGAGGAGATTTTGGCTATCACCTCGAACTTCAAAGCCAAAGCCTGAACCATGGAAGTTGCATGGAAACGGAAGCTGCGCCCTGAACCCCGAACCTGGCACTGGGTTACCAGTTTAGTATACAGCAGTACTATAGCATGCCGTGATGTTGCGTTCGTATGTTAGCCTTCTGCAAGCGAAATGCCACGTCAGCTCAAGACATAGAACTCGAACGGACAGACCTTGTGAAATATCCGGAGCTCTAGAACCTGCCGTGGTCTGAAGTTCTCATCCAGCTAGAACCTGCCGTCGTCTGAAGTTCTCATCTAGCCTTGGGACTTCAAACAGCCCAACATGAGGAATACGATTTTAGGGCCCAGATGTTAGTGTTATCTATAGACCTAATTGGAGCCCAGAATAACGCAAAACGTATGCAAACCCCAGGTGACCATGTCAAGCTCCGTTGATTTCCCTGTATGACAGCTTGCCAAAATTAGGGGGTCCCTCTAAGAACAATCAAGGACCCTAGCAATTTGGGATCTACATTGGGATACCCCTGCTAGTTAGCGAGGCTATCATGTACCAGCTGAAACGGCAACGCCATTCTGGCGCCTCTTGAAATCCCAGTACTAAAGGTAGGTTCCTTTGGAAGTATAATCCCTATGTAAAGAGCAGTAAGGTTTCATGTTTCAAACGCCAAGCACGCTCTCCTTCAGTACCCAAGGCGACTCCATCAGGGCTCGATGACTTCCCTGAACCCTATACTATAATGGTTTCCATTTTACTTTCCATTATCCTAAACCCTAAACCCCTTCCTATAATAGTTTTCATTTTTCCATTATCTTAAACCCTAGACCCTCTGCTATAGTAGCTTCCATTTTATTTTCCATCATCCCCATATAACCTGGAACAGACAGCAGCTTCTTAGGTAGGGCGACCCAAGGTCTGAAGCCTCCCCCCCCTGGCCTTCTCAGCGGCAAACCGTGGCCTCGTTTAGGGTTTAGGGTGTCGGGTTTAGGGTTTGAGGGTTTAGGGTTTATAGGGTTTAGGGTTCGACCTTTAAACCGCTGAAACAAGGCAATAACAAAGATGCATGCTGTTGCCGGGATGAACGTAGTGAAACAAGTAGTGAGGAGTGGTAGTTTCCCTAACTAGGGGGACCCCCATATACACCCATGAATTCTATAATCTTTATTAACCCCCAAAAAAGTTCCCCTAATTTTGGCAAATCCCCAAGTATCTTGCTTGCTTCTGCTTGCCTCAGTATTGCTGATTCAGGAAGCTGTTCACCACCTAACTCCTTATAATCCTGAAAGCTACAAGGCTCTAAACCTCGGGCTTAGGGTTTAGGGTTTAGGATTTAGGGTTTAGGATTTAGGGTTTAGGGTTTGGGTTTACGGTTTAGGATTTCGGGTTTAGGGTAAACCCCAAACCCTTGGTGCAGCAAACTGTGCATCAACTTTGGGCACGCTCACGCAGGAAGCCGTGATACTAAGGAACACTTGCAATGAATCTGAAACCAACCTGGTTCTCCTTCAGTCAGCTACTCCATATGACAAGCAACGTCCTCAGGAATTAAGGTAAAGAGCTTCAGGATTTGTCTGGGTCTGAGGGCCAAGGGCCTCCTAAACCAGAAATTCCTAAACCCTTGACTCCAAGATGCCTCCGGGGCATGCAAAGTGAAGGAGGAAGTTGATCGCAAATACCACCAAGATATTCTTTCCCAAAGTAATGCCATGTAACAAAACATGTTGAAGCCACCCTCAATTCAATGCTAAATGTTTGCCACCTTGTTTCAGACAGCCAGAAATGAAAAACAATGTCCTACAAACCTAAGGAAAGGCCACCAACAATTGCCAGCCAGGCAGCAAATAGTGTTGAGCCAAAGACTCATGCACCCGACGAAGCTTGGAAGACTGCAAAGGAAACTCCTATTGAGCTTGCCTAGACCCCCAATACCCAGTATAATGGCCTATATACCCATTCTTTGGTTGGGGGGTTGACAAAATCGTGATAGGTCTTTGGGAGGTCCAAGCGAAAAAAAGATACAAAACAACAGTTTGAACATGTCTGTCAAGGAGTACACATGTACATGCACAAGGCACACTCAAAGGAATCCATTGGACGCTTGGGATGTTGGTTGCTAAAGACCGGTAGGTTTCTCGCATTTGGATACATGAATATTCATGCAGGCAACACCACCATTAGGGTTTTTGCACAAATGGCAGGCTGGACACATCCAAATCAATCGGACAAGTTGCACCTTTTGTCAGGAGCAGTCCCTAATCGGATGCCCGATACAGACTATGCACTCATCTGGTTCCTACAAATGAACGTATAATTTTATTGCAGACTCGCACCAAAAACGAGGTAACTCCAACCGAAGCATCAACAAGGGACTGCCTAAGACTCTCTACGCCCCAGGCAAGAACAAAAAAGCAAAGTTCGACGCAACATGGGGAGAGAGAGAGAGAGATGGGGTCGTCGGCGGCCACGCCACAAAACCTAAACCCAAACAGCGCCCCCAGGTCCTCCTTGCACTCTTCCCAGCACTGAAATGCAGTAGATCTGTCAAAGCTGTCGCCTCACAACAGAACCAAGTATGTCGCCTCATTTCCCTAAGCGTCCAAGTACATGCATAGTACGTAGGATGTAACTTCGGCCCAAATGGGTGCCTATAACGACCTCTTACTGAAGGCATGGTAGCGCATGGATGCGGATCAGCACCAGGACAAGAGGGCTTGGGTTTTAGGATCAACACCAACATTAGGTGTACCACAGGCTCACTTCGAAGATGCGCCGCCCCCCAATCAAATGTTCTTCTGCTTTCATGGCCATGGCGATTGTTGAGGTCACCACGACCCACTACCACCAACAGTACCACTACACGTGCTGTTAATACTTCTCCTGGCACTACAGGAAATAGCGACAATATCATGGGTTCCCCTACTACACCCCCCAAAACTACACCCCTCCCCCCCAAGGTTCGCTGAGTTAACCTCAGTTTGGCTTTTTTCTCCTTGAGTCACCTTAATTCAGGGAACCTAGGGGGGCGGGGGGGTAGTATAGAGGGGTGTAGTAGGGGAGCCCATGATGATAAGAAACGAAGAAGCAAAATACTTGGTGCGCATGTCTCTATCACAGCTTGTTATCAGCATCATAATGCCTCTGTGTATTTACCTTACATAATGAATCCTCGTAGCTGTGAAGCTTAATTTCCCTGGGGCCCTGCAAGCATTAGACCCTAAAGTCTAGACACGTGACCCACACAGGGCTATTTGGAGCCCTAAAGTTCAGGCCTTAACCCTACGATATAGTTCTGCTCCAAGGTATGGGAAACATGGAAACAAGCCTCATTGGTACTTGTGGCCTCAAATCTAGCACTGGTGGATTATGTGTTGTGAAGCCATATTATCCTCCTGTAATAGAGACTCAAATGGAAAAGAAAAGGGACATGAAATGGAAACTGGGGTAGTATAGGGATCTAAGTGGCGAGGCACCCAGCTTTCTCACGATCTCTTCGCGCAGCCCCGTTGCGCCAGGCAAGGGCGGAAAATCGAGTCCGAAGATCTGCCATTTGGGGTTTAGGCCGTAGGGTTTGTCAACGCGGTTTCTTTGTTGGTAGGTTGGTGTATGAATGGGATCTTTTTTCTGAAAATTCCCAAATGCTTTATTGGGAGGAAAATGTAGCTAGACACCCAAATCCCCACAACAATAGCCGTATCCCCAACAACATCTCGATTATGCGAAAGCACATGTGGAACTCTACAGAGCTTCTGTGTGTGCCCCGAGATGAAGAAGTGTAGTTGGACATCTTTGAGTTCCCGCACCCACACACAGAAGCCCATCCAATTTCAGTTCAGGCTTCTTGTCAGGTTTCATGATTGCTGTTGTGGGGAGGTGTACAACTCCTTTTGAGGGGCCCAAGCTTACATTCAAGCACTCAACCTCCTGGACGGGGGAGCGGTTCCAAAATTGCGGAGTCTTCATGGCAAGACAGCATACTTTTGGGGCGTTGTATATACGCGGCCTCATTTGCAAAGGCCTGAAATGCCCATGATGCACCTGCTGAATTTCCGGATATCGTGGCTGATAAGAAACGTTTGTGCTTTTTCACTTGTTCAATCTACTCCAGCAGCCTGCAACTCCAGAACTCGACAACGGAACAGAATGCGCACCTGCTTGTGTACTTGTGCTTTGCTCTTTGTTGTCAGGCCTCCACAATGAGGGGATTGGCGGCAAAGTCCTGCGAAGGAAGAATTGCTGATGCCTTAAATCTGACGGGTAGAACATCTGGCACATGAGTCTCACCAAGTTATGCAGACGCTGCACTATGTTCCAGGAAGGTGCTGGTTCCTGTCCGTGTTGTCATCGCCTTAAGCCCCACGGCTCAGGGTTGAAGATCTGGGGTACCCAACCCCAAAAGTAGGTAAAATAATAGCCCAAAACACCTAACTATAGCCACAAGAGCCATTAATCTACATACTTTTGGGGTTCAGGTACTTAGACCATCGGCCACTGCGGTACCGGCGGTACCTAGATAGATCAGAGTTCTCTCTGATCTCACCTTAAAATGGTCCTAAGTCGATCCTATGTGACTCGCTATTTGGGTTCCTTAAGCCTTAGGGCTTAGGGCTGAATTAATACACTTCTTGTGCTAAAGCTACATGACCACCTAAAACTTACCAAGGTCCACTCATCTGCAAGCCGAGGCCCTCCGCCCCAAGCCCAGAATTCCGAAACCCGGCTGCCTAAATGTACTGTATAACAAGGAATGGAGGAATGCATCATGTGGCAGATACACAATCTCCATATTCCCTACCAACCGCCATTAAATACAACATCCAAAACCCCCAACCCAGCACGTCGCTCCAGTTCCTCTGGCATCTTGACAATGAAGCTTACCTCGGAAAGGCTCGCAGCTTAGGGTTAAGGAAGATGTGGGGACGTTATGCAGACTATGCTGTTCAAAATTGTATTCGGCGGCCCGAGTTTGAGAGACTCCAACGTTAGGCAAGCTCCTTTTGAAGATAAAGAAGACTGTGCCAAAGAAACATTGTATACAATGTACCGTGAACATGTCAAGGGAACAAACCCAGATCCCGCTTTAAATTGCCCAGATCAATGCAATCCTTGCCTTTAAGGTGTACTGCGACGTCCAAATCCAGGCCCTCACTTGAAAATTCATGCGAATTCATATGCAACTTATCCTTAACCCTTAAACCTATACCCTAAACC